ATAGGACACAGTAAAGAATAGCTTAGCATTAAAATAGGAATGTATTCAAAATTAATAATATAAATACAACAATTCATAACAAAAAAGCAGTAGCGAAACTAGAAAAAAGCCCCCCCCCCCACACACACACATAATATTTTTGCGGTGAACCCTTTGTCTCTAGTTACGCAGCTGATTTTGTGACACCCTAAGCAACATGATGCCCCCCCCCCCCCCTTCCGTATTGAATTCCATAGCAAACAAGTAATATGCGTAACAATCAGAAATAATTAATACGAGCCGACCCGCTGCGTATCATACGACGCTATTTACTTGTTTTATTTTCTACTTTTCAGAATTCATAATTTGCGACTTCGACAGTACCAATGCTGACACTGAAAATATTTGCTTTAAAACACTAACCCCCCCCCCCCCCCCACCCCAACCCCTACCCCTACACCCCCCCCCCCCCCCCCCCCGTGAATAGCAGCCTCTTCTTAGTTACCTCCTGTAAGTTTAAAATGGTTTCAAACTAAATTATCTGCCCATAATAGCTGTCAACCAACCCGTTCTACAATTTGTAAACATTTAGAGTGAACCACAGCTCACCAGATCATGTGGGGGTGGGGTGGGGGTGGTAGTGATAGTGTTAGAGAGGAAGAGAGGGGACTGCAAAGGCGCGCTTGCAGCTTGTTTTCTAACGGCTCCCCAGAAGAGAATTATATATATAGATTAATCATAACAAACAACATTGACAGTGTAAGTTTACAGATTTAATGAAACGATTGTTTTATATTTGTGGCAAAGGTTCGGTGAAATAAAATTTAGGCGATAGATAATTATAACATTTTACAAATGAATTTAGAATACAACATGATACAGACTTTTTTATCATTTGTCAGTATTTTAATTATTCCCATTTTTTTAAAGGAACGATATGCTGATGTTGTAGGAATGAAGATACCACATTCAATATTTAAAAAAAAAACTTTTTATTGCAAGCTTTTATTTGACTTGCTTCCTCTGTCTGTCATATGGATAGAAACGGACGAGCAAAATTTCGGACACTTCTAACTGACAGAAACGTTTCAAAGTTGGTATGTGGGTCAAGACCCAATGGCAATCCAAAATTAAATTCGACTTAATGCCTAATATATTTTTATGAATTAATTTTAGTAGGCAGTCTTGTACTACTCTTTCTGCATTATTATACGTGCATTATCATGTTCATTTGGTGTGCAATAGTTTTTAGTCATTCAACTCTATTATATAAAAAAATTTAAAGTACTGAAAAAAATGTCATAAAAAACGTTTTAATAACCCACTTTTATGTAATAATGCACTAAAAATTAGAAAATAAATTATTTTTTTAATATCATACTCTACTATTTAAATAACTAAAGAAAAGCATTGATCGCTTCCTAAATAATGGTAAAAGTATCCAAAACATATTATAGCGACTCACGCTTTTCTTTGTAGTTTTTTAAATAGTAGATTTGTATAATATATTTAAAGAAAATAATTTATTTTCTTCTTTTTAGGTTATTATTACATAAAAGTCTTGTTATTAAAACGTGTTATGCATTTTTTAAAATTCTAATTTTAAGTACAACCTACCTTCACAAATAAATGAGAAACGGTAATATGAATTCAAAAAACTGCAGCTACTAGAAATAGACCTGGAGGATGGTGGTGGGGGGGGGGGATTTCATAGCGTAGATAGAAACAAAACTAGACTGGTACAGATTAATAAGGACGGTGTAAACTTGAGTAGGTATTGACGGTAGACGATTTGGTTTGAGAGTATGTGCATGTGTTTAATAAAAATATTTGTAGCGTGAACGTAAAATGAGTGAGACGTGACAATGTTAGCGATGACGTAGGATGCAGGAGTGAAAACAGTTGGGGATGTGTTTTATATTTTGTAGCGTAGACCTTGTATTAGTGATTGATAATTAAAGTTCAATTTATATTTGATGATGGGACTTGTTGGTATTATTAGTGTCGTTAGAAATAAAAGTGCTCCCGTCCTCATCACATGTCTATATCTGGAGTGTTAGTAATAGCAGTAGTTCACACAATACACACCACAGTATAGTAAAAATAAAACTACACTACACCCTCAATGTTAAAAATAAAACTACACTACACACTGAAATGAAGGCTCATGACAAAACTTCGGTCTAGACGCCTTCCGCCATGCATGAATGTTTTGGTAAATGCTAAAACCACATTTAATTAACTAACTTGCTTATTAAATTTCTACGTTCCATTGTCATTATCAACTGTGGTAAACAAAAATACTACACATGTTATTTTAACCTAGATCTACAAATAAAGTGTATACACATGGCAAAGCATTGTCTTGTATCAGACAGGGGGATGGGGGTGGTCGAGAAAAGTGTTCTGATAAATTGTTCATATAAAGAGAATTTTACTCGTGGTCAGTTTTTATTTACTCTATAAAGCTCAAATAAGCAGTTATTGTTTGTTTGTGGCAGAAATGTTTGTTTGTAATAGACATGGGTAAAGTAAAAAAAATCCATTTAATCACAATCTATATATATAATTCTCCTCTGCGAGCCGTTAGAAAACAAGCTGCAAGCGCCTCCTTACAGTCCCCTCTCTTTCTCTGTATCACTATCACTACCACCCTACCCCACCCCCACATGGTCTGCTGAGCTGTGGTCACGTTAATGTTTACAAACCGTACAGCCAGGTTTAGTGACGGCTATTAGGGGCAGATAATTAAGTTTGAACCGACTTTAAACTTACAGGAGGTAACTAAGAGGAGGCTGCTTTCACGGGGGGGGGGGGAGGGGGGGGTGTAGGGTCGGGGTTAGGGGAAAGGAGGGGGGTTAGTGTTTTAAAGCAAATATTTTCAGTGGCAGCATTGGTACTGTCGAATTCACAAATTATGAATTACTGAAAGTAGAAAACAAATCAACTAAATAGCGGCGTATGATACGCCGCGGGTCGGCTCGTTGTGTAATATTTTTAAAGTGTTGATTTTTGTTCTAAAATCTAAATTAATGTCTAGAAAACTCAACATTTATCATTTTCAATATGAATTTTAATTTTACAACTAATTGTTTTAATTGACCTAAAATGCAAAGAAAACAATCAAACTAAATTTTCTATCCTTCAAATAATTGTTCAAATGCATTTTTAAAAAATATTTAAAAGACATTTTATTATACCAATGACTTACCTTGCGATAAACACTACATCAGAAAAAAATACCTCCTTTTACTACGTTTTCAAGTTCGAAAAAAAATATTGTTTATGTTTGCACTATTTTTTTTGCGTTGTTTGTGTTTACGTTTGCGTTTATGTTTGCGTTCATGATTGTGTTTATGAATCCGTTTATCTTTGTGTTATCGTTAATGTATTTGTTATCGCTTATGTTTGAGTTTATGTTTTTGTATGTATTTTTTCTCAAACATTCATATTTATATAGAGACTTTTAATTGAAATTATTTTAACATATTCTCAAACACCGGGTAGGTGCTGCTTAAAGAGCACACAAGTCACGGCCCTCTACAGACAAGATTATATCAAATGCCAGTGCAGGGCCTTGCCAGTACGGCTAGTTTACAACTATTTTCTTTATATTAAAAAAAAAACACGTAACAAAAATATTTGGGTTGGCATTTTAGGACTGAAAAGGTTAAATAACATTTCTTAAATGTTCATGGAAGAAAATTGCTTTGAGATACGAACAACTTGACTTACGAACAGAGGCGTAGCGAGGGGGGCGGGGTGGGGGGGGGGGTGCGGATCACACCGGGTGACACCATTTAGGGGGGGGTGACACCCAGGCAAAAATAGCAAAATAGGAAAAATGATAATTCCACTTAATTAAGTGATTAATTCGAGTGTTAAATAGTCTTTTAAGAGGTGCAAATCGATGGTTTGAGGGGGTGGGGGGTTGCAAATGGAAAGTTTGAGGGGGGGGGGGGTGCAAATTGAAAGGGGGTGCCAATCAAAAGTTTGAGGGAGGGGGTGCAAATCGAAAGTTTGAGGGGGAGGGTGCAAATGGAAAGTGTGAGGGGGGTTGCAAATGGAAAGTTTGAGGAGGGGGGGTGCAAATGGAAAGTTTGACGGGGGGGGGGTGCAAATGGAAAGTTTGACGGGGGGGGGGGTGCAAATCGAAATTTTGAGGGGGTGCAAATCGAAAGTTCGAGGGAGGGGGGGGGGTGCAAATCGAAAGTTTGAGGGGGGGTGTAAATCGAAAATTGAAAGTTTGTCCCCGGGAAGGGTGGCTACGCCTTTGGGGGGTGATACCATTAAGTGCCGCACCGGGTGACACCCGCCACTGCTTACGAATAATGTAACGGAGCGAATTAAATTCGTATCTCGATGTACCATTGAATTTTTTAAAAATTATGTTTAAGAACAGTTCCGTAGAATTATTTAAAAGGCGGCGGTAAGCCGAAATTTTTGGAAATCACATGTGTAAAAAATAAACTTAAAAGGTGTTGTTTTTTTAAAACTCAATTTAAAGAAATAAGTTCATACCACATCCTCATCACTTGTAGCAGTATATGCTTATCGCATAGATTGTTATACGTCAAGCAATTAAAGAAACATTAACGACATGTTTTAAAGTGAAACAGACAAATCAACTGTTTGTAAGAGTGGGAAAATTTGGAGGACATCGTCATGTAGAGAACAAAGTTCACGGCACAGTTCCCTGTGTAGAAGATATCAGTGGCGTGCTCAAACAGCATCACCAACTGGGTGGATCTGTACTGAACCTCCACACACGAGTTGAAGAGCTCCATACTGATGTTCGGGATGTTTAGAGTCACGTAGCATGCACACACTGCGAGAAGCATTTTGGAAATTTTTCTTTCGTTTCTTTTCAAACTTTTGCCAGACTTGCGGAGATTTTCTCGATCTTTCGAACATATCAATTTAAAGTTGATAGCCATAGATAATATTGCCACTATAAGAACGCTAGTTGTGAGGTATAAGTTATTAATGACTAGGCGTCCGAAAACCTCGAGAGTATTGTAGTTCTCCAGATAAAATTGCGAGTACCCCAAAATGGCGTAAGTGCGATTTGAAGCTGCGTCTTTGACCCATACATAGGTAAAAAATGTACCAACGAACGTCAACATAGGAACGAATACATAGATGTAGCAGAAAAATAGCAAGATAGGTGTGGTTTTTGCTGTTAGGAAACGAGAAGCCTGAAACGGAAAAAACACGGCGACGAATCTCTCAACAGCGATGACAAGGACGTGCGTATTACTGCAGTAGCTGGCACCGACTTTGACACCTTGCATGTACACGGTCCACATTGTCTCGAACGTCTTGCCTAGCATTGGCTCTACGGTTTCGGCAATGACCTGCGCTGGCTTTACAAATGAGCATGCGCAGAAAATCAGATCACAGAATGACAAAGATAACAAAAGAATCTCAGTGCTGTTGGCCAACCCGATGTGTGCTAGCACTACGATGCTCAGGAGGTTGCCGACCATCCCAGCAAACCCCCCAGCGCAGCACAACCCGTATTGTATAAACATATCTATGATGAACAATACTTCTGATGACTCCTCGGAGTCGAACCAGGTGGAGTCAGAAGGCTGTGAGTCATCATCGACAGTCTTGTATGTACTTGTATTACAAAGTGACATGTTGAACGAACCACTTTTACACATCGCTAAGATTATCAGCCACTCTAATATTTTTACCGTTTTCTAAGAAAAAGTACAAATTTATATTTTCTAATTCAAAAGTTATATAAATATGTTCAAATTATGTGAATATCCCTATTTTGTTAAGTATTTTTTAAATGAATGTTTTTTTGGTATATTTTGTGGTATTGATCTAAATTTTCCATTCCGGCGTATATTTTTTCTTTCTTTTAATTGATGGTAGACACAAATGACATACTCTCTCAAATTACAGAGACCGTCCTCTCTAACTGTAGGCTAGTTTTAAATTTCACGTTTGTGAACAACTTCTTGTAATAATAAAATTAGATCATAGGATATAATCGTTTGTAGTAAGCAATGTGTTTATTTTCATTTCGTGAGCAATCCAAGAAAAAATAAAAACAGCTTTTCAAAAAGTATTTCTAAACTTTGTGCGTAATTAGATGTAATATGTTCGTGACTTTCGGAGAATGATAAATGGGAGGTGCCGCCCCGTCTAATTTTCGTTTAATTATCGACTTAATAATAACAGTTCGAGGGAAGACTGTAGTAATATTTCGCCTTTATTGTTAAACATTTTTAAAAAGTATAGAATTTAGTATGGCTGTACAAAACAGGGGAAAAAATATTTTTAAAATACTTAATCTGAAACTGAAAGGCAGTAGGCCTATAGTAGCATTCATTCAAAGTGGAAGAAAAAGACAGTAAAAGAACGAATTGCTGATTTGTTGTTGTTTTTTACTTGCTCGTATACAGAGAGAAAGGTATTGCAATCTTAAGTTAACGCTTTTCTCTAAAGTTACTTATATAGTTGTGTAATGTTATATACGAACTGACACCCCCCCCCCCCCCCCATAAGCATACGCCGCTATTTAGTTATTTTATTTTCTACTTTTCAGTAATTCATAATTAGTGAATTCAGCACTACCAATGGTGCGACTGAAAATATTTTGCTTTAAAACACTAACAGTAGCTCGTGAAGGACGGTTACCCCCCCCCCCCCCCCCCCCCCGCCCTCGTGAAAGCAGCCGTGTGTGACGACAGTTTACAGACGACCATGAAAAGACCAAGCAGAACTCGTTACCTCTCATTAGTTTCAAATTGTTTAAAAGCTAAATTATCTGCCCTTAATAGCCGGCTCTACGATTGTAAACATTTAGCGTTAACCACAGCTCACCAGACTGGTGGGGGTGGTAGCTATATGCCTAGAGAGTGGAGGAGTAACTGCGTGCGTATACGTGGTATCTCGCATGGTCCCCATGAAGAGAATTATAAATAAAGATTTAAAATAAATCATTTATTTTCTCACCTTTAGAGCATTATTACATAAATAAGAATAATAATTAGATTTATAATTATATTTGTGTTTGAGTTTAGGTTTGTAGTTTAGGTTGTTGTTGTGGCTAAGACTAAGCTTAGTGCTACGTAGATTTTCTATTGAGTCCAAATTAACACATTGGCATTTAATTGAAATCTGTATACATTTCCCAAAACCCGTGCAGTGCCGGGTATTTGCTGCTAGTATTTCAGATAAATCTTGGTTTCTTAGCAATGGAATAGGTTAAAGTAGGATATTATTTAATTTAAAATAATATTAGGCGAATTTTTACTTTATGGTTATGAGTAGACTCCCTTCAAAATTTCAACGGAGAGAATGTAGAATATTTCGAAACATTTTCACTAATTTGTACATGGCGTGCTTGCCGAGACGACATTGCCTTAGCGACTCTGTCATATGTCGTGTGTACGGAACCCACGAATTAATTGTACTTTTTTTTTAGTTTTTACTCTCCCACATAGAAAGTGCACATTGACAAATCTCAAAGCACGCGAAAGCTTTACGTCATTTTTATTATTTTGACGTTAGCTTTAATAACTTATTCATTTGTTATTCATAAGAGGTATGTGCTCATATTATTTAGGTCATATTAAAGGAAGAAATCGAAGTTTAAATAGACAAACAAGTTAATAAAAAGTCTAGTGACAATTTAAGCGCAATTTCCTTAATTAATTTTTTTTTAAATGTGAAAAAATGATTAGGCCTAGCGAAACAAAACCTTGTAATTGTAACTCCCTATCACTCTCAGATAAATTATAAATAAATTAATAGGGTAAAAAAAAATAACGTTTGAATTAATAAGTAAAAAAAAAGACAACTATTTTATTCTATATCAACGGAAATAGTTTTATTTTAACGAGTAGGCCTACAAGATGCTCAGTTTAAAAAAGTAGTAAATATCATCCTAGGCCTACACGATGCTCAGTTTAAAAGTTCTTAATTTTTTGTGACCGAACAAAAGGATATTTTTGAAAACTTTCTTCGGCAATATTGGTTGAAATTATGGCAGGAATCGATTGGTAAATGTTTCAAGTCGCTAAGTGGTCTGGTTGCCGAGATATGGGCCAAAAACTGCATTTTTTCCGAGGTTTTTTGGCTTTTCCGGGAAATCCAGGAAGGAATTCCGGGAATTTTTTTGGCCCACAATCATCCTTGGAACTTGCTTAACATATTTGCTTTGGAACTAGTCCTCGATATTGCTTCGTTCAGGAGGAGATACGACTTACAGCTGCGGACACACATCCATCCATTCATTCATTCATCCATTCATCCATCCAGAAATGACGAGTTAATAATCGCAATTGTCCAGTATGGAAATTGCGCTAAAAAATGTAGGCTGTGGTGTTAATTTTTTTTAGGTAAGTGCAGTAAAGTTGCTTTTCGGACCTCGCGGTCCACTGGGCAGGTGAAGTAGAATTCAATTATTTCTGTGACCTCGGCATAATATTATGATGGGATAGTGTGGTCATCTTTGTGCTAAATTTCTCTTTTGCACATTTTTAGTTGTGTTTTTTCTGGTTGCGCATTTTTCTGTTTGCGCTTTTTTCGGTTTGCGCTTTTTTCCGTTTGCGCTTTTTTCCGTATGCGCTTTTTTCCGTATGCGCTTTTTTCCGTATGCGCTTTTTTTCCGTTTGCGCTTTTTTCTCTTTGCGCTTTTTTCCGTTTGCGCTTTTTTCTCTTTGCGCTAATTTCTGTGTGCGCTTTTTTCTCTTTGCGCTTTTTTTCCGTGTGCGTTTTTTTCCGTTGCGCTTTTTGTTTTGCGCTTTTTTCCGTTGCGCTTTTTTTCCGTTGCGGTTCTTTCTGGGAACCACAATATTCAATAAGGGAAGGGGAGATAACTAGCAAGGCGAGATCTCCCTAACAGTCTGATGAGCTGTGGTTCACGAGAAATTTTTACAATCATAGAGTCGGGACGATTTAGCGAAGGCTTTAGGGGCAGATAATACAGTTTAAAAATCGATTTGTAACTAAGGAAGGTAGGAAGAAAAGAATTATCCTACGCTTTATCATGTTGCTGTTGTCTGAACATTGTGGACACGGACGGCTGCTTTTCACGGGGCAGATAAGCGTCTTTTGAATATCGCGAGCTACTGATGGTGTTTCAAAGAAAATATTTTAGTCGTGTCGACTTCATAAATTAGGAATCACTAAAAAGTAGAAAATAAAACAAACACAGAAAACCTGTATAACAACAAGCTTTTGAATGCACTGAATATAAGAAAATAAACAAATTCACTTTCGTTAATAAAAGCCTTTGTCGCTAAAATATGTAAAAGATCTCACTAGCGACCAAAAAGAAGACAAAACACACACACACGCACATACATACAGACAAGATTGCAAAATTAAGTTTTTCAAATGACGTGTAAAATGCCGAGATTTTGAAAGATCTGGAATTAGAATTTTTGCCCGTATTTTTGCCCGTATATGATGAAGAACTGAGGTGTAAAACGGTGAAAACTGTCAAAATCTTATGTGATTTTTGTGCAAGATTACAACACTTCCTCTAAACTCTGTATACGAGAAAGTAAAAAGGAATATACGAATAAAGTTAGGTGAGATCACTCCCGTTTTATTTAAGAAATATAGGAAAAAAATCGTTGAGAGAAAAAATGTATACAGAATATGCATCTTTGTTCATTACAAGAAAAAATACAATAGACATGAAAAGTCTATGTAATCATACAAAATTTTAAAAAAAATATTTAACAAAAATATATTTTTAAAATATGGCAAGCGATAAAATTATAGTTACATTTGTAAAAATAAAAGCCGCTTGAGAACCATCGATTACACTCATTTTTATATTTTTGTATCGAATATAAGCCGGTGAAAAGTCGTTTAGAATTATTTTTTAATTCAAATATTTTCAAAAACTGCCCTCAACCCCTCATTGAAGTCAATCGGAATGGCCAGGCGAGGGTTAAAAAATAAAAGTCAGAAAAATTGTTTTCCATGATAAAAATACACAATAGAGATCTATGGTGTATAGCGTAGTATTGTATTTATATTAAATAATATAACATCCCAATCACCACAACACCCTGACTCTACTAATCAGGGGCGGAACTACCATACCGCCAGACCCCGCAATGCGGGGGGGCCCAGGACGTTTAGTGGCCCAGTTCCGACCAAAAAACATTGAATTTTTTTTTTCAAAAATTATGTTTTTCATGCATCTTGAAAGTGGTTTTGTAAAAAAAAAAAACAAAAAAAAAACAGGTCTACTATAGCAGAGATTGTTGCGTAGAAAAATATTTTGAAATCTACAAAAGCTATAGTTTGAAAAGTAGGCAAACATCCACACTAATTCCATGACTTACTGCCCTACTTTAAAATAGGTATGCCCACGAAGCTCATTTAAATAGTTTTGTACTATGTATGTTAAAAAGCAATTGATTCTCTGAATTGTTATTTAAATAAGACGTACTAAACAATGATATAGCTATAAAAATCAATGTTTTCAAAATTGATATTATATAAGCCAAAAATGAAAAAAATAAACATAACGCGAGAAACCATTCACGAATCAAGCTTACGACTTTATATATTTTTGACCAGAATGTATAGTAGTGGTCATGACAATTTCTAGCCCAAGATGAGTTAGGACTAAATTTGTCTGGTTTGTTCTCTCAGAATGGTTATTTATTGCACAGAAGTAGACTAAATTACTCAGGATATAGGTTATATATATATATATATATATATATATATATATATATATATATATATATATATATATATATATATATATATATATATATATATATATATATATAGGGGGCCTAATTTTTTCTTTGCGGGGGAGCCTTTTTTTTCTAGTTCCGCCACTGCTACTAATCCAAATTAAATTTTTAAAAGCGATTGCTAAATTACTTAAGTATTACTAGTAATTATTTCTTTGACTATTTCTAGCCTAAATGAAACCGGAAGTAATTTTGTACTTATTACACAAATTTTATGAAATGTTCAATTTTGGTTGAAAAATATGCTTTCTGGCAACACAAATTTGGAACCATTTGGAACCAGCTTTTCAAGTCTATTATTAAAATAATAAAATTATTTTTTTCTGTTATATTCGTAGTCTTCATTTTGTTGTTATATTGGTAGTCTTCATTTTTTTTAGAGTCTGTTAGGTGCACAATTAGCTCAGGAGCTCAGGGGCACTAGAATTTTAGGGCCAGGAGTTAATTAAGGGTTCAAACGGTTAAAGTTGACGAATGAAGCAATCGGTTGTGTTGTGTATTGAAGATAAATGTGTAGAACAATAGTTTTCAAGACTTTTGTATTTAAAGTACGGAAATAAGTTTCATTCGATCCTGATCGTTTGAAGAAATGCAGACTTGTTGCAGTGATTGTTATTTCAGTATATCGAACTAAATTATAGTAATTGATCAATCGTCAAAAGTCCTCAACTAAAGAGACGTTAACAAAAATTTAAAAGCGAAACAGGAAATCTACTTTTTCTTCAGACAAATCAACTGTTTGTAAGAGTGAGAAAATTTGGAGGACATCGTCATGTAGAGAACAAAGTTCACGGCACAGTTGCCTGTGTAGAAAATATCAGATGCGTGTTCAAACAGCATCACCAACTGGGTGGATCTGTACTGAACCTCTACACACGAGTTGAAGAGCTCCATACTGATGTTGGGTATGTTTAGAGTCACGTAGCATGTACACACTGCGAGAAGCATTTTGGAAAGTTTTCTTTCGTTTCTTTTCAAACTTTTGCCAGACTTGCGGAGATTTTCTCGATCTTTCGAATAGATCAGTTTAAAGTTGATAGCCATAGATAATATTGCCACTATCAGAACGCTTGTTGTGAGGTAAACGTTATTGAAGACCTGACGCCCAAAGACCTCGAGAGTTTTGTAATTATCCAGATAAAATCTGGTGTACTCCACAATGGCGTAGGTGCGATTTGAAGCTGCGTCCTTGACCCATGCATGGGTAAACATTGTTTCACAAAACGTCGCCACTGGAACGAATACATACATGTAGCAGACGACCAACAAGATGGGTGTGGTTTTCGCGGTTAAAAAACGTGAGGCGTAAAACGGGAAAAACACGGCGACGAACCTCTCCACAGCAATGACAAGGACGTGCGTGTTACTGCAGAAGCTGGCACCGACTTTGACACTTTGCATGTACTGAATCCACATCGTTTCGAAGGTTTTGCCTAGCATTGGTTCCACGGTTTCGGCAATGACCTGCGCTGGCTTTACAAATGAGCATGCGCAAAACACTAGATCACAGAACGACAAAGATAACAAAAGAATCTCGGTGCTGTTGGCCAACCCGATGTGTGCTAGCACTACGATGCTCAGGAGGTTGCCGACCATCCCAGCCAACCCCCCAGCGCAGCACAACCCGTATTGTATAAACATGTCTATGATGACCACGACTTCTAAAGACGCTTCGGAGTCGATCCAATAGGAGTCAGACGTCTGTGAGTCAACATCTAGAGTCTCGTATGGAGTTGTATTACAAAGTGACATGTTGATAGAGCCAGTATCACACATCGCTAAGATTATCAGTCACTTTAAACTTTCTTATCGTTTTCTAGAAAAGAACACAAATTTATATTTTCTAATTCTAGGCGTAATAAATCGTTTTTTAAACAGTTGTATACAAGTTTGTTCTATGAACACAGGTTTTTTAAATATTTTTTAAAAAGGTGATTTTTTTGTATTACATAAAGTATTGATCTAAAACTTCCACTCCAGCGTATACATTTTTTTTCTTTTAATTGATGTTAGACATAAATGACATACTCTCTCAAATTACAGAGACTGACATCTTTATCTGTAGTTTGATTCTATACGTCACGTTTTGACTTAACTATGATATAAGAAAATAATAACAAATAAATGTTGGTTGTCAGCAATGTGTTATTTTCTTTTCGCGAGCATCTCACGAAAATACAAAAAACACAGCTTTTCAGAAAAGTTAAATTACTTTAGTAGAATTAATTTATGTGTATTAGTAATTAAATGTAACATGACGGCCTTTTAGAAAAATGTTGGTGGTTTGCGATGATTGATTTGAGGGAGCCCCCTCTCCCCCTAAATTTCGACGTTAGATAATAACTAACTCACTACTCGACGCGTAATTATAGATAAACAGAATACTTGTTATATTTCAGCTTTATTGTTGAGTATTTTTAAAAGTATAGATTTTTTTTATTGTTTTAGAAAACAGAAAGAAAAATATTTTTAAAATATTTAATCTGTAAAGCAGCACAGTCACATTCAATCATAAGGGATTAAAAGACGGGAAAAAACGACTTGTCTTTTTGTGTACAAAATACCAATGTTTAATTTATATTATAAGAACAGGTTATAAAATGTGAAGGATTTTAATTAAGATTTACAACGAGCCGTTTTCAGGTAGACGTCCCAGAGTAATTGAGTCACTGGTATTGCTAGAACCGCCGATATTCAATTAGCGATACCAGGTCTCCTCCGCGTATTGTTAAACTATGTTTACGATATAAACCTGAAAGAAAAATAAATCGACTACAAAAAAGCAAACTGGACGCTCTTTGTTAATCGTAATTGAAAAAGTTTGGATACTTGTTAGCATTAGTTATACTTAGTTCAAGCACTCAAAATACTCTTAAACTTACGGGAAAAATATAGCCATCTATATGATCGTGTCTTTTTCTGACCCGAAACTAACCTATATTAACCGCTGCCTTGTTAATAACACTTTTTAAATGCTTGAATAAGATCGACAACTTGCAGATACGACACAATTTTGTTGATATTTCGAAGGAGATATCCTTAGAGCCGTAGGCGCCTAGAACATAATCAGATCTTCAGAAATGTAATATTAAGGGGTTGTAAATTGACCCACTCATGGCAACGGGAAATCATCATCAAGTTACCCAAATAGGGCGACCTGATGTTTGTGAGAACTGGAGAGGCATTAACCTTCTGTCAGTACCAGGAAAAATCTTCTGCAGTCTTATTACAAAGAATGAGGAAAGGAATGGATGGGATCCTTCGTGAAGAACAAGCTGGCTTCAGGGCCAACAGGTCATGTAACGACCAAATATTTGTCTTGCGCACTATAGTGGAACAGTCCCTGTAGAGGAATTCGTCTCTCTACATCAACTACATAGATTTCGAGAAAGCATTTGATAGCATCCACCATCCATCATTATGGAAGATACTAGAGCTATATGACTTTCCAGGGAAAGTTAAAAACATACTCAATGTAGTGTACTCTGACAACCAATGCTGTGTGCGACATGAAAATCAGCAAAGTGAATGGTTCAGTGTAAAAACTGGAGTCAGACAGGGCTGTGTCATCTCACATGTCATCTTTTTGTTGGTAATAGATTGGATTATGAGAAGAGCCACTGAGGATAAGCCAAGAGGAATTGTTTGGGAACTTACCAACCACCTAGAGGACTGTGACTTTGCTGATGACTTGGCTTTACTCTCTTATGCCCAAAAAGACATCCAAGCAAAAACCACAAAAATAGATCTAATTGCTAAAAGTGTAGGGCTAAAGATAAACTCAGCGAAAACCAAGCTAATGAAAGTAAAAACTAAAAGTGCTCTCAAGACCGTTGCTAATGGAGCAGAGCTAGAAGAGGTCGAAATATATATACGTTATGAAGCACAGTTTATAATGAAAATAAAATGTAAACAGATTTATAAAAGATCTCAGTCGGTTCAATACATTCATTTTTTTTTTCGACGTAATGAATGTTCATCTAAAGTTGTGGTTTTTAACCTGGGTTGATCGAACCCCAGGGGTTTGGTGAATTAGTCACAAGGGTTCGGCGAAGATTTAGACACACAGTTGACATATAATTCACGATCTGAGTGCGGACGATAGAACTATTAAGGAGGGTTCGGCGTATGAGCATATGAAACTGGTGGGGTTCGGTACATCTAAAAAGCTTAAGAACCACTGATTAAAAGATATTTTTTTCAAATAATAACATAAAACGCTAGCCAGTTGTCCTTAACTTTGTTATTATATTCTTCATATAATTTGTCGTCCAGTATTAATTAAAAGATAAAGTCTTTATATTAAAAAGCTGATATAAGATAGGGTAATTAAAAACGCCTATAGACAAATTATTAGTCTCTATTTCAACAGCGGAGAGGTACCTTTCATCGCCTGGGTCTATCTTTTGCCTCTACCACTAACATAACAGAGGGACGACGTGGCCTGGCGGTAGAGCGCTAGACTTGTACCCTGAAAATCTCGAGTTCGAGTCCTGGTTCAAGTCAGTACAACGTCCCTGAGCCCACCCTCACGTTAAAGAAAGTAAAGACGGCTCAGAATGGTGCTGACCACTTCATATGCCGAGGTACCAGAAACAGGTGAACTCTACTTCACTTGCCCCATGGACCGTCAGGTTTGAAAAATGAATTTTTACTCTACAAAAGTACCTTTACTCTGCTACCAATGCTAAACCTAACCATGATCTTAACCTAGACAGAAAGTAACACGTAGATACAACGCATGCATTTGTTTAGGAAACAGGTGTATTTAAATATACGAGCCTACCCGCGGCGTATCATACGCCGCTATTTAGTTGTTTTATTTTCTATTTTTCAGTAATTCATAATTTCTGAATTCGACAGTACCAATGCTGCCACTGAAAATATTTGCTCTTAAACACTAACCCCCCCCCCCTTTCCCCCAACCCCTACCCTACACACCCCCCCCCCCCCCCCCCGTGAAAGCAGCCTCCTCTTAGTTACCTCCTGTAAGTTTAAAATCTTTTCACACTAAATTATCTGCCCCTAATAGCCGTCACTAAACCCGGCTCTACGATTTGTAAACATTTTGAGTGAACCACCGCTCACCAGACCATGTGGGGGTGGGGTGGGGGTGGGGGTGATAGTGATAGAGAGGAAGAGAGGGGACTGCAAAGGCGCGCTTGCAGCTTGTTTTCTAACGTCTCCCAGAAGAGAATTATATATATAGATTTTAAAATCGGCGCTACTCTTAGTTACTTTAAAATTCTATTTGAAAACACCAGAAATAGTTTTGCATGTTCGTTGTTTTACCCCAACAAAACCCACAAACCACCTCCCAGTAGTATCAAAATGCGGAGACGGGTCGGGGGTGTCGTCCGCATGAGAGGGGGGGGGGGAGGAGGACACATTATTTAGGGGGTGACACAACATAAAAATCATAACATTTGAAGTCAAAACAACGGGGTTTTTTTTAAGTAAAAAATAATTTTTAATTTATTTTTTAACATTAAGCGTAAAGGTTGACAACAAACCGAAAAGGGGGAGGGGGGGCTGACACTATTGATACCGCACTGAATGACACCCGATGAGTGACGCCATTGGCTCCGCCTACATTACTGTTAGTGCTAAAATGATTTTTCTTCAGTCAGAAATTCTAACGTCTCAACAATGAGACCACGTGACCTGTTGCCAGCCAATCATTTTTTTTCCCTCTGATGCATCGATTTCCCGGTGGGGGGGGGGGGGTCATTTTAACTGCATTGGGTAACGCCCGACCTTGTGAGGCAATGTGACATGGCTTAGAATTTCTTTTCAGTCAGACCAGCATGACTTCTCGGGAATCAATGTCGTCTGTCATGTGGCACAGGAATTGTGTTTGTTGTTTCTTCGATAAGCCAAGATCAAATTTACTTCACTAAATGTCGAGTGGTACGGTATGGTTTAGCGGTAGAGAGCTAGACTGGTAACCCGGAAGTTTCGAGTTCCAATCCGTGCTCTAGTCAGTAGTAGGTCATTGATTTGACCCAGCTCTGATGGGTGCCTAATTTACGTTCGGGAAAGCAAAGGCGACTGGGCATAGTGCTGAGGACTCTGAAACAGATTAACTCACTTCATCTGCCCCATGTGTCCTTGGCACGAAAGGGAAAATAAAAATTAAGAAATGCTATCCTTAGTCAGAAATTACACAGGATAAGACAGTGCTCATTAAAGACAAATCTTTAAAATTAAAAAGTAGGACTCTAAGCTTTTTTTTTAAGCCGTTGAATTTTTAAACTACACTTAATTTTTCAGTAGCCACTATGGTCAGTCGGCCTTTTCTTCCAGTCTGCTTTTTTGTTAATCGGTCTTTTCACCATGTCGGCGTGCGTCATATTTGCAGTCTAACTCTCCTTTGCACATTACGAATCTCTGAGCTTATGTAACCGATTTATACTACGTACATAATATAAACCATATTGCAACTCGAAGTCTGGAAAATGATTTGTTAAACAATTTCAAACATTAACATAAGCGCACATACTTATTTTAAAAAAAAAAACTAGATTCCCCCACCCCCATTCATTAGGTCGTAGCCTTGACCTTTCCTTGATTGCTGCATCAATTCGGATCAAAAGATCAATGAAACAAAGGCGGAAGGTTGATTGTGTAGAAATTGGAATTTTCTGAAAGTATAGTCATAAATTACTTCCCTTGTATGTTCAATGTTTAAGAAGTGGGAAAAACTACAAAGGGAAGCAACTTTAGATTATATCCAAATTTTAAAGTTAGAACAAAGAAATAAACTACAATTTGGA